TTTAAGCCATTGGGTCCGGGACGCAAACCATGGTCGACTACGTGGGAGTCCAGCGACATAGCCATTATGCTAACTGCTGGTCCCTTTTTTTTGGGGGGGGGGATTCATATTTTGAATAGAGAGTCTCTAAGCACCATAAACTGTTATCTGTTTCAGCTGGGACTGCTAATTGGCTCAAACTAAGAGCAGGATGGGGGAGCATTAATTTGCCTTTGCTCAGGTGGCATGGTGGTTAATATGACTGATTCCCCTGTGGCTGACTGCAGTTCAAGTCCTGAACCTTGTGACTTTCTCATTTCTCTTTCTCTTTCTCTCTCTGGTAAAATTTAAAAATAACTAATAATAATGACAAATAAAATCTTTTTTAAAAAATTTGCCTTTTGCTGTGAGCAAAGTAAGAAGTCTTGAAGGCTCTTTGAGACTGTGGGATTTCAGAAATAGATTTTATGTTGTATCTGAACCAGCCAAGCCAAGGGTGTAGATAGTGACTCATCCTGGAGGTCACCTGTCCAGGTGTCACAGGAGCAAGCACTACAGGAAAGGTAAGGTTCAGACAGGCCCGGCCAGTTCCTGTGCAGAAAGATAGCTGGGCAGGGGTGAAATCTTTAGTCTGAGGGGCTATAGTGGAAGGTGGGAAGGAAAGCAGGATACATGGAATTGTTGAAACTTTTAATTGGACAGGGCTTCTTCAGAATAATAATAATTAGAAAAACATAACCCAGGTCTCCATGTCGAGTTATTTTGATCATGCTTTCTGAGGTGTTGAATTTTAGTGAAAAGAAAAAAAAAATTGCAACACTTGGGATGCTCTGTTTTAAATTCATGACATTGTTTTCTCTCTAAAATATATTTGAATCATGTAAGTAATCCTTGTTTTTTGCAGAACATTTAGCAATGAACAATATTTTTGGTGGTCATAGTTGATTAGATTTTCTGGACTAATTTCCCTTTATTCCTATTTTTGAAGAAATATCACCCTTTTGCCCTGCCCTCCCCAGGGAGCTGGCGCCAGTGAGGGTTTGGTGATGTGGCAGACAGAATCTGCGGTCAGATAGAGCTGCCTGTTGTGTTAAAGACAAACTGTGATCTCAAAGTGAGATCACTGAGCTTTTCTTCACTTTCATCTTCCCTCCTGTTTATGCTGGTTGTGAAATGCAATGGGAAACTTCATAAGACTAATGAAGCAGGAGGAAAGATCAAGTGATTATTTTTCATAAGCACGATAATTCTGGTCATGCTTTCCTTTCCCTAATGAAGTTTACAAACTGTGCAGATGTCTGGAGCAGACCACATGGCTGGAAATTAGTATCCAGGATTCAGGAGAGTCTTACTGCCTCTGTATCCCCATGCGAAGACCACTGCAGAGACAAGATCATTCTAGATCATACTAGAATGATAAGCAATTATTAACACTAAAGACTCACTAAGAATCAAACAGGATAAATATGTGTGCTTGTTGGAAAGAATGATAAAATCGTAAGTGGTCTGAGGATTCTCAGTGATGGGGACATCATAATGCAGTTGATTCAAAACTTCTTTGATATATTCTCAAGCACAAGGGAAAAGCCCAGTTCAGTTGGACACCTGTATCTTGTGGCTCACTTAGTAAGCATCTTTAAAAAAAAAAATTATAGAAGGAGAAGATCTATTTAAAAAAAAAATCATGATGAGCCCAGCAGGTGGCATGGTGGTTAAGGTGTCACATGACTGACTACAGTTTGAGTTCCAGACCCAGCAGCTTGAAAATTACACCCGGGGTGTGTTCATGTGTGCCTAAGATCCCGAGAGGAGAGTGGAGGAGAAGGATTGTGACATGGTCATCCCCCTGGTTGGTGATCTCTCTCTTTCTGTCTTTCTGTCTCTCTCCGGGGAGTACACACACCTTATGGCAAAAACCAAAACCAAAACCAAACAAACAAATTCATGTTAGAGTGCATGCATGCTCTATCATGACTTTATTTTTAATTTCTTTTAATTAATTAATTTTTTGGAGAGGTTTTTGCTCTAGGGCATGTACACTCATCAGAAAGACAGAGAGACAGAAAGTGAGAAATCAACCCCTGCCCCAGGGGGATGGCCATGCAGCAATCCCTTCTCCTCCATTCTCTTTTCAGGATCTTGGGCATGCATGCACACATGCCTGGCATGCGTTTAAGCTGCTGAGCCCAGGACTTGAACCATGGTTGACTACATGGTAGTCCAGCGACATAGCTATCACACCAACTGCTGGTCCCTCTGTCACAACTTTAAAGAAACACCCTTACAGGGCTTAGTCACTCCACGATCCCCGTCCTTCAGTTCTTCAGCCCACCAGGATCCTGGGCCTGTGTGCAAGGGCCCAGTGTATTTTCAGACTAACAGGACTGGGATTCAAACTGAGGTTGTCATGTGGCTTCCAGCTCTGCAGTCTGGTATGCTGCCAACTATGCCACAGAGGCTGGGTCAAGTAAGCACCTTAGAACCAGAGACTAACTCTTTCCATTTTGATCCTATCAGAATTTATGAAACACGGATTCTTGTGCTTTAGAGTATATATTCATGCATCACCTGGAAGAGCTTTTTGGAAATGCAGATTTCTTGGCCACATCCCAGGCTGCTCACTCAGAGAAGCCCCTGGTGATGATTCTGATGTAGGTAGGTTGAGTCCATCCTCGGAGCACATTATTACCGTAGTGGATTTATATGGATTGAAAAGATATTTGAGACAAAATATCAGTGTAGGCCCTATGCCATTAGAAAGGAAAGTCAGGTTTCAGTCTCACCAATCTTCTACTGAGAGCTAAGTGCAAAGAAAGGAGAGGTCCAAAGAACAGAGAACACAGAACAGACAAGCCTTAAGTTTTACTAACAGGTATATTTTTACAAGGTTGTATGTAAATCACCTTTGTGTGGGCTCATTTTTACTTTCTCTTTATTTAAATTCTACACATGACCTGGCCTGTAGCCTAGTGGTTAAAGGAAGTTGGATCCTACATAGCTGACCCTGGCTCGAATCCTGGCCCTTCCACTTGAAAAACATGCTGGGTGTGTGTGCTTGCATGCCCCAAATCCCCACAGGGTGGAGATATAGAAGAGAAGGACTGAAGAGAGGGGATTGTTTTCTCTCTGTGGTGCATACCCTCTGGCAATAAAAATCTAAGAAAAAAGAAAAACATCCTAACATATTATGTCCACTTTGGGTTTTCCTACAGTGGTAACTCTGCCACTTTTCTTTATTTTGCAGCCCCACCTAACCACTCCACCAAGAACTTCATGGCCCCTGGGTAGCCTAAGCAGTGCCTTGCAGCACTCTGCAGCAGCAGAACCTCTGGTTCACCTCAGCTCCCCCTAACCACAGTGCACTGACAGCCACTGCCCCTCATTCCCAGGGGCCATCTGCGGCTGGCTTCCTGCCTCCTTTTATGGCATTTGCATTCTGCCAGAGGGCCTGGCTCTTTCCTAACCTCTGCCTGGGCTGACTGTTCCCTGGTTGACAGTCAAGCTGTGGCTGGAGACCTAGAGTGGCCCAGCTTTGCTGCCTCCTCCAGGACACACCATCAGTCAGACTGGTTGTGCCATGGGGCTGGACACCTTCTGGCTCTGTTCTATAGTTGTTGATCACAGAGGCCAGATGCCATTCCCAGTAGACGCTTATGCTCCAGAGCCAGGTGTTCCTACCTGCATTTGCTGCCAAAGCAGGCAAAATGCACATTTACATTGAAAGAAAGAATATCGCAAAGCTGTTGATCATCTGTCTCTCCTAACATCGAGTCCTCTTTCGCTCTTACCTCTGCCCCTAACCCTCACAAATGTGTTAATTTCATCTGTTCAAAACCCACTGAATCTCATTGTATCAACATTTTTTTCTTTTAACCTGTCACAAAATGTCAGGGAACAGAGAGGCATAAATCACATGTTTGTGCTTAGAGAACTCATGATAGAAAGAGTAGAAACCTTTAAGGCCTGTGAGTCTCTTCCTTAGAGCGTGTTTCCTATTTTTTCTTAGTTTCCATTGGTAGGGATAGTGGGAATTTCTACTGGAACTTGGGTGCTTGGTAACATTGAGGGCTTTAGAGTTTAATCCCTTGTAAGCCCAGCTCCTTTGACACTAAGCAGGCTGATTCAAACTCAGGCAAGGGACAGACAGTGCCTTTCCGGGGTTTGCTCCAATCTGGGCTGTCGCATAGGTTTGGCTCTTTCAATGAGATTCTGAGATAAGTCTGTAGACTGAGAAGTAAGTCTACAGGAAAGCCAGGAAGGTGACAGAAATCAAGAGAAGCAGGTAGGGAAACAGCGGGGGTAGACACAGGCTTCTCTGTCCTGGAGGGACTAGAAAGTTCAAATTCTCTCAAGAGGCAGCCATATAGATCTAGGGTTGCAGATATAAATGACTTTTGCACTTTTCTTTTTTTTATTTCTTTTTGCTATAGGGCACGTGCACTTGCCAGACGGAGAGACAAAGAGACAGAAAGCAAGAAATCACCCCCCAGGGGGGATAGTCACGCCGCAATCCCTTCTCCTCCATTCTCCTCTCGAGATCTTAGGCACGCACGCACATGCGCCCGGCTGAGTTTTAAGCCACCCGGTCCCGGACGCGAACCGCGGTCGACTACGTGGGAGTCCAGTGACATAGCCATTACTGCTGGTCCCTATTTTTCTTTCTTGATGAGTATCTGGGCTTTGATATAAAATCTCTTAACTAAAAATATTATTTAATTTATGTTTTCTAAAAATATTGTGTAGGCCAGACAAATCATGTTCATCGGCCACGTATGAACTATGGGCTACTAATTTATGACATTTAGACTAGATTCTATCACCTGATTGGGCTCTACCTACTTGGCTTTTGCTTCCTTCCTGTCCTTTCTGGCTTTTCCTTACACTCCCAATCTCTGAGCTTGATCTTTTCTTTTTTTAGAGAGATTTTCACTATAGGGTATGTGTGCTTGCCAGAGAGAGGCAGACAGAAAGCAAGAAATCACCTTCCCAGGTGGATGGGCACATTGCAATCCCTTCTCCTCCGTTCTCCTCTTGGAATTTTGGGTACACATGCACATGCACTTGGTGTGAGTTTTAAGCCACTGGGTCCAGGACTTGAACTGCAGTCTACCATGTGGGAGTCTAGCGATGTAACCATTATGCCATCTGCTGGTCCCTGAGCTTAATTTTATCTCTTGTACACCTCTTTCTTAATTTCTAATTCCAGGTTCATTGTATGCCCCCAAGCTACTAATGTCATGTCCTCCTCTTCTAAGGTATTAAGTGATCTCTGAAGTCCCAAGAGCTCTAGTCTTCTAGGCTTCAGTCAGACTCGGGCCATTTGCCCTAGAAACATAAATGATTCTTCTAGTTGCCTGTGGCTAGAGCCTTTCTGGGAGAAGCTGCTTAGGCTGAGGTATTGTGTAGCTCACAGCATCTCATATCCCTGCAGGATAGAGCTTGCTCTCCTGTGCCCCATGCAGCTTCACCAAGCTGTTCTGTATTTCCTTCCTTCTCGTGGGCAGTGATAGCCATGAGAAGAATGTGTACTTTTTAATGGATCAGCTTGACTGGGTCATAGAGTACCCAGATACTTAGCTCACAGTTTCTGGGTGTGTGTGAGGGTATTATTGGATGAGATTAGCATTTGGGTCAGCAGACCCAGTAAAGCGGACTTCTCTTCCCAATGAGAGTGGGCACCATCAAATCCATTGAGGGCTTGAATAGAACAAAAAGTAGAGAAAGGAGGAATTTGGTCTCCTTTTTGCCTGACTGAGATATCTCATCTTCTCTTACTATCAGTCTGGGATTTATACCATCATCTCCCCTAATTTTCAGGACATCAGACTCAGAGTGAATCACAATACTGGGTTTCCAATTAGCAGACAGCAGATCGCAGATCGTGGGACTTCTCAACCTCCATATTTGTGTAAGTCAATTCTTTATTTATATTTATATATGTGTGTGTGTGTGTGTGTGTGTGTGTGTATATATATATATATATATATATACACACATACATATATATGCTATTGATTCTGTTTTCATGGAGATCCTCAACTAATAGAGTATCACTATGAATGAGAAAGTTTTGGGCATGCACACAATTTAAGTATTTCTGATTATTCATAAATTGTATGAAGAAACTATTATGTATAAAATATATATACTTTTTTTATCTTGCAAAACCAAACTCAATACCCTTTAATTAACTCCCCACTTAACTCTCTTTCACCCTCTCTCCACACCTGACACCACCATGTTACTTCTTGTCCATGAATGAGACAACTCTAGGTACTGCATATAAGAGGAATCATACTATCTTTTTGTGACTAGCTTATTTCACTTATCCTAATATCCTCAAGGTCTATTCAGGTTGTAACATGTATTATAATTTCCTTCCTTTCAAGGACTGAATAATATTCCATTTTATGTTTATATCACATTTTGCTTATCTGTTCATCAATCAAGAAACACTTGGGTTGCTTTTATTTTGTCTACTGAGAATAATACCAGTATGAACGTGGATCTACATGGGTGGTCTCTAAGAAAACCAATATTGGCATTTAAAAATCAATTTTAAAGTTTCAAAATCTGAAATGGGTTCCCACACTATTCCTGCATTTCAAGGCCTCTTTTGTGTTCACTATTTATTTTTCCAAGTGGATATTGAAATTTTTAATCATTTTTATCATATTCCAAAAATGTCTGTTGAAATGTTGATAGAAATTATAAAATAAATTATGTAAATTAAATGTAAGCCACATCTTTTTTCATCTTTTTTGTAAGTCAAATATTTAGTATTTTCACCAACTTGTGTTAATACAATTTTAAGCAAATGCCAAGAAGTGATAATCTTCTGAATAACAAGGAACACCAAGGTAATCTTTTTCAACTTCAGCCACACTATTAGTGGCCAAGATAGTGCCAGTCACTGTTATTCAGATTATTGCATGTTTACTATATCATCAATTTTTAGAGTGTTCCTGATGGTTTCATTTGCTGGGGTCAGAGTACTGACTAAAATCAACAAAAGCTCAATTGCCAATTTCTCAAGTGCTGGAAGTAAAACCATTTTGATATTAATGTTGGTAGTTTTTTCTTATTGCCTATGCTAATTTCTTAGTTCTGTTGCTGTAGAAATGGGATTCAGGCCAGCATTTTCAACTGGTGTAGATAAAATGACCTCGATAGCATCTGCTAAACATGACACAGTAGGATTCCATACCACTCAATGTTCACAAATATTCAGTTAACTGTAGGGCCAATTTTATTTCTGGAGTATGACCTCCTGTAATAAGAGCTCTCCTCACTAAACAGCAAAGAACACATAGGACAGCATGAATGGAGGGCTCATTTCTTCAATCCCCGTTTTGTTAGAACTACGAACAATTTTATGTGTTTTTCCAGGGCTTGCACAGCCTGTAATCTTGAGCAGTTTGCCAGAACCATTTAAATCGACCTCCTCAGCTAACTCAGCAGAACCCAGCATGTTAGTGTGAATTGGTTAATAAGAGCAACTGGCTTGATTCCAGTTGTCTTACAAATGAATTTAATGTCTCCCCTTTTAATATCCTTAGCCACTATATATGTATGTGTGTATGTGTGTGTGTGTGTATATATATATATATATATAATCTTTTTTTTTCCAGAAAATGTAATGCAAGTTTACTGGGGGCATCACATAGAATCCTTCTGTATGAGAAGGACATTATATCCCACTTTTTAAATTTGCTGCACTAAATTTAGAATATAATGACTATCCTCTCATGGCACTTGGTCCATCTGTACAGGTCAAAAATGGTTTGATTATTCACTTCTGTTTTAGGAGCAGATAAATACAATGGAATATGCCTGATTTTAATCTTTTAAACTTTGTTTATGCTAGAATTTGCCACTTTCGGAGTGAGAAGTAACCCTTTCATTAAGTCAGTCACCAGTAGTCCCATCAAATTTCTCTAAGATCTATAGTAGCTGTGGCTGGTTTGATCATTTTCATCACATTTACACTCATTGGAGAAAGCAGACTTGAATATTGAGAGACAACCTTTGGCTCCTTGGGTTCAACAAAGTGGTGGAACCACTTAAGAGTTTCTCTGTTACTAAGTTCCACAGGTTGAGGCATGTTAGTCAAGATTTCAATACCCTTTTCCAAAGCCTTCTGGGATGACTTGGAATGATGGTTCATTGAATCCCTTTTTGAAGAAGCTTTGTACAGGAATTTGAAAGCCAGCCAGCAGGCTCCATGGCACAGTGGTGACCCATTGCTCAAAAGAAGTCAGATCTCGGGGCCAGTGATGGCGTGGTGGTTGGGGTGCTGGACTCCCACGGGGCTAATCACAGTTTGTCTCTCTCTGGTGAGTTCATATGCCCTATAACAGATTTTTTAAAAAAAACAATTATAATAAATAATTCTAAAAAAAAAAAAGAAGTCAGATTTCACATAGCGACCACAAATGCTGCCTCAGTCTACCTGAAACATGTATAGCATGTGTAAGAGTGACCAAGATCCAATGGGAGAGGAGATTGGAGAAAGGGGATCATGGAATGACCAGACCCTGTGGAGGGTGATTCTCATCCTCGCCCTCACTTGTGAGCTCATGCACATTATCATGAATAAAGAAGAAAGTCAATGTCTATGCTACTTCTCCCTGTCTGCTGCAATTCCAGCTGGTTTAGAATGGGACCAGAGTCAGGGAACTTTTAACCTCTGAGTGTTTCTTATGCATAGCCCAAATTGAGAGCTACAGTCTAAACTTAAGTTCATATATAAAATGGGGGGGGGGATAACCTCACCGGGCTGCCGTAGAGATTAAGTGATATAATTTGCAGTTAGGCAGAGTGCCCAGTAAGTGGTAAAACACACAACAAATGACAGGCATTGTTATAATAATCCTCAGATTTAAAGAGATCAGAGCTACATCATCAGGTCATAAAAGGACACTGGGAACTCAAGGCCCTAGTCTTGGTTCATTCAGTTTATGATTCTGAGGTTGCCAGGCTGTGCCCATCGTAGCTCTCACCAACCAGTTTTTATGGTTGCTTGTTAGTCTTTGCTCATGCTTTTGCTTTAACTCTTTCTCTGCTCGTGAAAATACCATATTCAAGGGTGTGTGGTGAGGTACAGGCTTTGGAGTTGGCAGCTAGAATTAAGAACCTGTCTAGACACATACAATTTTATGATAGGCATATGATCTAAGCCTCAGATCTAAGCCTCAGTCCCTTCATCTGTAAAACGGGGATACTTACTGTGTATAAAACATGGCCTACAAAGCACAATACCCAGCATGTGGTAAGTGCTCTGTAAATGTTGACATTGCTTGCATTTACTGCTTTCACTTGACAATTTGTTCATGGTACAAACCCCATTGACCTCTCCTCTCTAATTCCTTTATTAAATATTCATATTAACTAGTCTTTCACTAGCTTGGTGCTTAGTGCATTGACCAGTTCTCAGATATTTTCAGACTGAAGGTCTCTTTAAATGAACCAGTATCCTTTCTAAGACTTTAAGTGTTCCCTCCCTCTCCCCTACTTATTCATGATAAGTGTTTGTATACACACGTTAGTGAGCATGTGAGAGAGATGAGATCCACCACAGGGTCTGGTCACACTGCCATCCTTTTCCTTAAGTCCTCCAGTCTGTTGGATCTTGGGCATTTGCGTGCATGCCTTGTGTGTTTCTGGCTGACTGGACTGGGGATCTGAACCACAGCCACCATGTGGGATCTGGGTTCTGTCAAGCAACACATTACAGCTGCACCACAGAGCTGGCCCCAAGCCTTCAGTTTCTGTTTAGCATGCTGTTTTCATTTAAATTCAGTGGGCCAGGCAACAGTTTCATGACTCCTTTGGAAAGATGATTCTGTGCTAAGCACCAATTTGGATTGGTGCTTAATAAAACAATCTTAGAAGGAGCTCATGTCTTCTGTACCAGGACACAAAAAACTCTCCATGAATAAATCTGTCCTCTCAGAAAACATGTTTCCTTAAGTAAATGAAAAAGATCTTCAAATTTACATGGGTTAAACTCTAGCTTGTACTTTACTATAAACCTGATATTGCCAGATTCCCTGTTTTGCTGCCTTAATGTAATTCAAAAAACATTTTAGTTTGGGAACAGCAGATGGTGTATTGGTTATGACTCCCATGTAGTTGACCGTGGTTCGAGTACTGGACCTGGAAGCTTAAAACTCACACTGGGTGCCTGTGCACCCATGTCCCAAGTTCTGAGGAGAATGGAGAAAGGATTGTGGCATGGCCATCCCACCTGGGGAGTGAATTCTCACTTTCCGTCTCTGTCTCTCTGGTGAGCACAAATGCCCTATAGCAAAAATCTCTCTAATAAAACAATTTTTCAGTTTTAGAGCTGGCTCCAAAGCCTAGTGGTTAAGGGAGCCAAATCCCACATGGTTGACCAGTATGAATTCTGGTCCCAATGACTTGAAAAACGTACCAGGCATGTGTGCATGCATGCCCCAATCCCAACAAGATGAAGAAATGGAAGAGAAATGACGGCCATACGATCATAAGCCATTAGAGGGTGCCATTATCCACCCCCGCCCCCCCCATGATGGATGCACATGCCCTCTGCTAATAACAACAAAAAGTATTTCTGTTGCCCTCTGCACTGTGCTTAACCACTGTATTATGGGGCCAGCCTCCCTTATGCCAGCTTTTCTTCTTCTACTTCTTTTTTGTTTTAATGAAAAAAAAAAAAAGACTTCTTTCAAACTTTTCTTGACTGCTTAAGAAATAGGGCCATGAAGATACAGTTGGCAGATTAAAGATGTTTTTCCTGGGACCCACCCAGCACATGGCATAAGTTACATCACTTGACTCCCAAGTACTTGACCTGTCTCGAGTCCTGGACCCGGAGACTTGTAACTCACACTAGCATGTTTGTGTGTGTGCCCAAAGTCCTGAGAGGAGAATGGAGAAGGATCTTGGTATGGCCATCCCCCCTAGGGGTGATTTCTCACTTTCTATCTCCGTCTCTCCAGTAAGTACATGTGCCCTGTAGCAAAAATCTCAAAAACAAAACAAAACAAAACAAACTGCAACCCGTAATTACATAAGAAAACATATCTCTAACTTATATCCTCTTCTGAACTTACCACACTGCCTGTAAATGTGGAGAACCTTAGGCATAAACACACACACGGCATGATTTTCATGCCACCAGGTTTGGGACTCAAACTATAGTCAGTCATGTGGAAGTCCAAATGCCTTATCTACCATGCCAACTGCTGACCCTGAGCACTTTATATTTTTAGCAGATTATTTGTCTGCTAAAATTGACTTGGAAAAATCTGTTGGTCAGACATATTCTAACTAGTCACACAAAGCACTATCAGCATAGTTCTATCAACATAGTTCTTTTCAAACATACTTTAATATTTAACATCATGATTTTAGAGAGCATGAAAGAGGTTTAGAGAAGGTAAGTGACTTAAGGTCATCCCATCAGTAAGTAAACTGTCACAAACCCATGACTTTTGAATGCAAAACTGTCCTTTTACTATGCTATACTAAAATCAAGGGCAAAATCCTCCATGCACACTAAACTCCAAACATTGGAGGGAAAACATAAATAGTTTAGGTTTTGGCCAGAAATCCAATTAAACAATATGACTAGCCCCAAAGTGGAGTTAATTTTTTTTCTGATTGCACTCATCTTCGTTTGTACCTTTGGTCCCTGGTGTCCTGAAATGTATCACCTTCCATGGCATCAAGAGTCAACTTACCCCGCTCTCCAGCTGGTCCTTGCACTTCAGTGCAGGTTTGGAGTTACGCCGTGTTTAACCTTTGGTTTGAGGGTACAGTTATGTACAAATGAATTTTAGCTTGTTTCTGATTTTCAGCACAGAGCAGTGGCACACCCTTATTGTTGGGTTGTCTACAAACTTCCCCACTAACTTGCTAATGCTCAGTGCAAGCTCAGGTATGAATCCTGTGGAAGCTCTTTATCAGCTAACCAAGACACTGATTTCGTCACTTAAAAAAAATCTAACCTGGGACCAGCAGTTAGCATAATGGCTGTGTCGCTGGACTTCCATGTAGTTGACCATGGTTCAAGTCCCGGACCTGGCGGCTTAAACTCCCGCCAGGCGCATGTGCGTTAGTGCCCAAGATCCTGAGAGGAGAATGGAGAAGGGATTGTGGTGTGGCCATCCCCCCCCCGGGGGGTGATTTCTCACTTTCTGTCTCTCTGTCTCTCTGTGGCGAGTGCATGTGCCCTAGAGCAAAAACCTCTCCAAAAGAAGAAGAAAAAAGACTAAGCTAATTCTAAGTTCCTCTTACATTCAGTCCTCCAAATATTGGAAATCATGTAATTCAGAACATCTACTTAGTTACACTGGTTCAGGCCGTGAGTTGTTTCCCAGCACCACATCCACCTACACCTGGCTCAGCTGCATCAGCCAAGAGTAACAGGGCATTTGCCTGAGTCTAAGCAAACTCCTGAGATCTTGCCAACACTTCACAACATACCCGTTCTCGTTCACACAATCTAAAGGACTTCATCTATTTGTCTCTGTATCCTTTACAACTGCCACGTGGCAGGTGCTCAGTAAAGTTCTAAATGAATGGATTCTCAGCCTTCTGTTGAATTCACTTCTATCAGATACAAATCATCCAATTTTAGGTAGCTTTTTTCCTTTTTTTTTTTTAAACAGACTATAAAATAGGCCTTAGCCATACCATCTGGATTATGCATCTTTAAAAATATCATTTGTCTAAACATATGTACTGAGAGTCTTACTAGTTCATGAATCATTCAGTGTTGTAGGAAAAGAAAATTGTAGCTCAAGTAGCCGCTATACATACACTTGCCTATGCACTTTGCTCTCCTTGCCCGAGAGAGGTAGAAATGGGTTAAAAAGTACTTTAGCACAACAATGTGCATATAATTAACACTACTGCTTTGTACACTTAAATGTTAAATTTTGTTATATATTTTTTAACCACAGTAAGAAAAAAAAAAACTTTTACCTTAAAATACTATCTTATATACTTTGACCTTGAGTTAAGTCTAAGTTTTTTTTTTTGAGAACTTGTAGAGCCGTTCATATTCTGGCTTGTTTCTTCATGGCCAATCATGTACCAATCAGTGGTCCATTTTTAGTTCTTTGAATGGGACAATTTCTCACTTTAGAGCTTTGCCAATGGTGTTCTCTGCCTCAAATGCTTTTCTCACCATTTTCCTATGGCTAACTCTTCTTTACCCCTTAGGGCTCAGCTTAAATATTTCTTAGGGGAGGCATTCTTTAAACTCCCTAATGAGATTTGGGCCTCTGGCTATTTGTCTGGATCTCTCTATCCGTCCATCCATTCTCTCATAGAAGTTTGGCTTTTTCTTTTGTAGCATTTAATACAGTCTTACATAATTATATAACATTAATCTTTCCCACAAAATTGAAAGTTCCATTAAGCAGGGACTATTCCTCTTGTAGGCCCCCCAATACCTTGTATACAGTAGCTTTTCAAAATTCTTTCCTGGTCCAGCCTTTTATCCCATACATTTATCTTATAAGACAGTAGGTAAAGAGGCACATGAAGTTTGTGAGCTTGGTGGTGGAGACCATGACGGAATGGCCAGAGATAAAAGAAATTTCAGGCTGAGTAAGAGGGCAAACAAGCAAAGAGTAATGAGGAAACTACCAGACAGTCATTTAATAAGGGTTCTCCTCCACTCCGATATCCCGTCCCTACTCCAAACAAGTCATTAAACAATAATGTATTAATTTCACTAGAGAATTAGGTAAACCTCAGATAATAGATCCAAAAATAAAATAATTTTGCAAAATTAGAATGTGTTCAAGAAACCAGTTACAATTTAACTGGATGAGACTTCAACACGTAGATGACTATGTTTCTCCAAACGGCCTTCATTTAGGAAGAGGCCATTCCTCCAACATGTGAAGAACCATAAATGCACCTTCTTCTCAGTCACTGAGGAAATGTCCTCTCTTGATGGGCTGACACTATTTCTTTTTCGTTGCTCTTTTCCCTTCTCCTTTCCGTGGTTTCCCCTTTCCACGAAGCTTCTTTAAACGCATTTGCTCATCCTTAAAATCTTGATGCTCATCTCTGAATGACGAAAGAAGAAATAATTAACAAGTTATTTTGGCCAGAATGGGAAAAAAAACCCATCTAGCACTGTCCTCCTGGGTGGTTCTAATTACTGATTTCTTTAAATGAAGCTTTCTCTTTTTTTATAAATTTATTTAATTTTATTTATTCACTCATTTATTTTTTTGACCAGAGAGAGACACAGAGGAGGAAAGAGAGGGAAAGTGAGAAAGGAAGCCACCAGGTCTGGGACTCGAACCGTGGTCGGCCATGTGGGAGCATCCAGCACCTTAACCACCACGCCACCTGCGGGTCCCCTGATCCTTTATTTTTATAGGGCACATGCTTAGCGAACAGAAAGTGCAGGAGTTCCCCACCATACAGATGGAGTGTGTTCCAAAAGTTCATCCATAAGTCAGTTTCTCTTTACAGAGACAATGCTACAAACTCCAGTTAAATTCCCAGGCCAGCCCATATAAACCCATGTAATTACCATCTAACACTAGTAGTTACCCCCAATTTCTCTAAAAAAAGCAAAGACTAAACACTGAGGGGAGTAGAAAGTATAAGTGTCAGCAGCTACACAGAGACCCTGCCCACCCAGGAGTTAGCAGCCACTAAAATGGGGAGAGAGGGAGGAAGCTGCCTTAAGGGCAGTAGATAATTCACACTCAAAGGCTGTTGGGGAAAGTCTCAGGCAGAAGGAAGCCAAACCGAAAGACAGATACTGGGGAAGATGGTGGCATAGTGATAAAATATGTTACTCTGCAAGACAATACTACATGGCAAGGTTCCTGGTTCATGTCTGGAGACCTCCCTACGTTGCTGGGCACAAACTTGCCCATGATTGGAAGCTGGCTGGGGGTGGACCACGACATTGGAACCCTGTTGGGGGGTTCTCTCTCTCCCTCATGGAAGAAATAAACATTAATATCTAAACCTTAAGATCAAATATCCAGAGAATGATATAGCATTTAACATGTGAATTCTGAAACCCACCTGAGCCTGGGTTCAAATCATAGTTCCATTGTTTATAAGCTCCGTGACCTCGGATAAGTGATCTCACCTCTCTATCCTTTAATTTTTCATCATCAGTGAAGTATAGGTAATGCTGTAATAAATTAAATGTAAGAGAGGGATGTGCTGGGCCCAATTCTTGACTCTTTAGGTTTTTAAAATAGACAGGTTTTATATAGAGTTCAACGTTTCATATGATGAACATGGAGATTATACAACAGACCTCTGGACTTAGCTATAAATTCCCTTAAATTCTCAACAGAACAGCCAGAGTAAATTTTTTTTTGAAGATTTACTTATTTCCATTTGTTATTATTATTTTTTAATTTGACCAGACAGAGAGAGAGAAAAGGAAAGTGAAAAAGCAAGCAGCCAGGTCCAGGATTCAAACTGTAGTTGGCAATGTGGGAATCCAGTACCCCTATCCAGGGAATCCAGTGCATCACACCACCTGCCAGCCCCAAGTAATTCTTTAAAATACATGTCAAAGGCAGCATTTGAAGTGGCGGTTAAGGTGTTGGAATACCACATGGCAATCCACGGTTGGAGTACCAGACCTGCAGCTTGAAAATCACGCTGGACTCCTATGTGTGCATGCACCAAATCCCGAGAGACTAGAGAAGGGATCGAGCATGGCTATCCCCCTTGGGGGGTGATTTCTAAATGTTCTGCTGTCTCTGTTTGTCTCTGGGTGAATGCACACACCCTATGGCAAAAAAAAAAAAAAAAAAAAATCTTAAAAAACAAAATACATGTCAGATCATGTCACTCCTGTTCACCCTGCAAATATCTCGCCATTTCACCTAGAGCAAGGGTTGCCTCCCGAGATTTGCATGACTCCTGGAACAGACTAGATCCATTTCTGCCTTGAGGCCTTGGCTCTGCTGTGGCCTCTTCCTCACAAGTTCTTCCCCAGGTCCCTGTGGCTCACTCACCACTTTTAAGCCTCTGCTTAAACGGCTTCTCCTCAATGAGGCTGACCCTGATGTGCTTGCTGGTTAATACGGTAACCTGGCTTCTTCCTGCCCACAGCATTCTGGTTCCTGTTCAGCCAACTCTATTGTTTTCCATAGCTCAACTTTGTAACATATCACATCATTTACTTATTTACCATGTTTTTCCTTTTCTTCCTCTCTTCTCCCATCCTCATCAACCCTCAGATAGAAAGAAAATTCTAAAAAATGCAGGGTGCTTTGTCTCTGATGATATAAGTACCCAAGCATCTTGTTTACTGAATCATTATTTTGAGGCCCTGCGCTTCCCTCCCTCTTTTATAGGTCTTTGAATAATGTTTTTGTTACTGGAGACTGTCTAGTTCTGTCTCAACCTAATGCCTTAGGAGGCCTATCATTGGAGGTACCCTTTACCGTGACTAGTGACTGAATACCTACAAATAATTTTGCTATCAATAGATAACTAAGTATTTTTTCCTTGTCCCCAAATAGAATCAAGTCTTTAGTTTTCAAACAAATGGAGAGCAACAGCAAATAGGTAAATAAAATAGCTTAATGTGATTTTGTTATAGGTTATAATCTTCTGCTCAGGGGATCTGCTTTTCAATGTTTTATTTGAGGTAAAAATAAAATTAGCTTTTATTTTATGAGCTTAGACTAATGGCAAGGGAGATAGTCCCAAAGCAACTTGACACATTCAAAGTATATCATGGATTATAATCTCTGTTACATTAGTGAATAAAATCCATTCCACTTTGTTCACTGCTGTTCCCTTACTACTCATCTTAAGTGCCTGTAGGTACTTAATAATTATCTGTTGGAGGGACCAGCAGGTGGTGTGGTGGGTAAAGTGCTAGACACGTAGACATGGCCAACTGCAGGGTTGTAGTCCCAGACCCTGGTACCTTGAAAAACATGCCACGCACACATGCATGTGTGCCCAAAATGCCAAGAGGAGAATGGAGGAGAAGCAAATGCAGCATGGCCACCCCTCTGGGGGGATGAATTCTTACTTTCCCTCTCTCTACAGCAAGTACACGCACCCTATGGCAAAAATCTTAAAACAAAAATCAAAAACCAAACCAAACCAAACTCTGTTGAATAAACTAATGTACCAACCCTTAGTTACCTGGGATGTCTACCGTGGTATTAACTTTATTGCATTTGAAATGAATGATCTCAAATAATTTTTACATTGTTGACCAACGATAAAGCCAATGAAAACATATTCAATTTTAAATAGTGGTTGGCATTTTAAATTCATACCATTAGGCACTTTGATTTTTTTGTAATGAGCATGTATTAATGTGTAGTTCAAAAAAATTTAAAGAAAATGACCATATATTTGATCTTTCTTCTTTCCAGAGAGCTATATAGTCCTAAGCACCCACTTCCTGGACACACGCAAACATACAAATACATAGTGTTAAGAGCCTGCGGGACCAGCAGATGGTGTAACGGTTATGTTGCTGGACTCCCACGTAGTCGACTGCGGTTCAAGTCCGGTGCATGTTTGTACGTGCCCAAGATCCCGAAGAGAATGGAGGAGAAGGGAATGCAGAATGGCCATCCCTCCTGTGATTTCTCACTTTCTATCTCTCTGTCTTTCCAGTGAGTGCACGTGCCCTTTTCAAGTGGGGGCCCGTGCCCTAGGGAAAAAATCAAAAAAAAAAAAAAAAAAAAAAAAAAAAGCCGATGCAATTTATGATATTAACCTGAAAGGTGAACTATAGTTTCTTTAGGCCAAATGAATATACTGGAGTACAAAATAAAAATTCCAGAAGAGAGTGCAAGGAAATAAGAACAAAATGGCCACCAGAAGGGAAAGAAGACTCTGTATAGCAGCTGAGCAGGAGACCGGGGTGGGCAGGGCTGTTCATCGAAGAACAAGAGCCTGCTGCCCTGGCAACTCTGGGTTCCTGGGTTTTCTTCCACTGCATTTGGACCAGTTTTTCTCTGAATCCTTTTTAGAATGCTCTTAGATTAATGAATAGTTAAACCTCTCTCTATAGCTCAACTGTTCAACCTTAGTTACATTTTAGACATAAGTAAAATAAGTCTAACAACAAGTGTGTCTATGGGATCCCCCTTCCCCCAGGTTTTCTCATTATGGCTATTTTGAAAGAAGCCTTTCTCCTGCAAACTATCTTTTTAACTACTTGGACTCTATTACAAGAAAAACAAAACTATACATATAGGCTAATTTTTTCCTTTTCTGCTCTACTAAAAAATAAATCTTTCACAGGTCCTCCTTTTTTGTTGTTTCGTCATCACCTGTAGAGTCCGAGAAAACGAAGTGTCCCCATGAGTGCAAAATAGGTATTGTGATTTGGATACCAATCGTAAGTCTCCTTCCTTTTGGCCAAAGGTTGTTCGCTGAACAGTTTCACCACTTTCATGGATTTGGAATCAGTAGGCCTGGCAACTTCCCCAAATAGCCGGGCACTCAGACGACTCATGCGCAAGGCATATTCCGAAAGTGAAGACATTTCTTGAGCAGCAAAGTGCGAGAGTCCTTCTAGAAAATTAGAAGACAAATAGGTTAGTATAAAAAAAAATCCAAGATTATTTAATGAAAACTTTAGAAAATGAAAACACAGCAAGCCATACATGAATCAGTGTACAACTGTTGGCAGGGCATGCCTTGAAGTCAAGAAATACACAGTCCAAATGGCTATTTCTTTTCCAGGTTTGACATTTGCAATTTATACATTTAGTGCTCATGTGCTATTATTTCTTTAGTATACTGCCCTTTTAACAATGGACTATTTTGTCTCTCTACAGGTTATTTACCAAGAGTCAGTTTACCTGTTTGCAGACTGGAGGAAGACAGGCAAACAAGTTATCCTACCATGAGATTATTATTATAATACCTTCAGAAAACATCCACCTAAGCAATCTGCAAAATATGCTGACTGCTTGCCATCTTAAAGTGTAATCATGGCAGAGAAATAATTATGTCGTTGTCTTTATTATCAGTCCTTTGAACACTGTTCTCCTCTAGGGCTCCAGATGGCTCTGAAAACTGCTAATGAGTATGAGGTCATTTGGCCTCTTGGTTACTGAATTTTGCCTGGAGACTGAAGCCATTTGGGAAAAACAAACAGATAGTAGTCCTATAAAAATAAACTCAACAGCTCACAAGATTCATTTTATTACTGAGTAGAAGGCACTTATGAATTGTGATGTTACTTTGTCTTATCTTCCATCTCAAATGTTCTGCCTTAATGCAAACTAGCTAAGTTCTTATTAGCTGAAAACTAACTTTTTCTTTTCTTTTTTTTTTGAGTGGTTTTTGCTACAGGGCGTGTGCACTCCCCAGACATACAGAGAGACAAAAAGTGAGAAATCACCCCCCGGGGGGATGGCCACACCACATTCCCTTCTCCTCCATTCTCCTCTTAGGATCTTGGACACGCAAGCCCACGCCCCTGGTATGAGTTTTAAGCCACCAGGTCCGGGACTTGAACCGCGGTCGACTACATGGGAGTCCAGCGACATAGCCATTACGCTAACTGCTGGTCCCAAAACTAACTTTTTCTTGAAAGGCACAGAATGTTATGGCAGAGAGGGTATACTTAGGGTAGAACATTTGACTGCACCAGTATATGATGTTGAAATAGGTATAAGAATGATATCCATGGTTTGCAAAAATTATAGCTAATAGAAATTAAAAAAAACACACACACACACACAACTATATGAGTCTACACAACGATCAAGAATGCTACAGGTGGAATAATCATCTCATCCCATGCTAGATCTGATATAGGAATTACTGCTGGCAGAATATGCCAATTTATGTGAAATGTAGATGAGACTGTGCAGACTAACAGACTATATGGGGGATAGTTCAACTGGGATAAAAAGGAACTGATCTACAAACAAAAAAAGGCATAAACCTGTCCCTTTTTGAATTTTTAAAAATGATAATTTCTGGTTTACATATAATTATTATACATCTTTGTAGGGTATGGCATGGTTTTTCAAGCATGCATATGGTGTGAAATAATCAAATCAAGGATATATACATATTCATCTTATTCAGCACAAAATATTACATTATTTTATGCACATCTGATAATAGTTCTACTATCTGTTGTTGCCTGTTTTTTTTTTTTTAAATATATATATTGAATTGTCAATGACACTTTTTACTCGATTGTGGTATACATTCCATAACCTATTCCACCCTTTTATATACTTGTGACTGTTAGTAATTTCCTCCCCACCCTCACTGTGTACCTTCATTGCACAGAAGTAGACAGTAAAGCATAAACCTATCTTGAAAAACCAGTGGGAGAGATATACCAAAACCTGCTCATGAACAGGAAATGGTGTGAAGTAAGTTTCAAAACAGCTTTTGTAAGAAAGCAAACAAATTCTATTTTAATGTCCATTTCAAAAATCTATTAAAAGTACAGAAGTTGACCTCAAAGCAACTGCAGAACATCAAGCTCAATCTACCATTTTGAAGGCCAACCAGGTACTTTTGGGCCAATAGTGCCACCTGAAGGCCAGCACTGGGAGAACAGTTGGACCCAGGGGCTCCCAAGTTCTACAATTAGACTCAAGGTCTACTGCCGAATCCCTACCTGGGGATCAACTATAAGCCTTGATCTTACTCTTTTTCCATCCACTTCTCTCCTGGCTCTTGTTCCATAAGGTGGATGCAAAGGGTAGAGGCTGGTATTACAACTATTTATTAAATTTTTATCAAAGAGAAAAAAAGTCATAAGCAATTTAATGCATAAACAAAAAATAGTAAAACATCAGTGCCATAAACCCCTAAAGGCCTTATAAATGTCTAGATGTCACCTTCAGAAACTCCCCAAATTTTTTATATGCTTTATCTTTTTTTTTTTTTTTTAAGAATTATTCAGTTTTACTTATTTATTCATTTATTTTAATTTGACCAGAGACAGAGAGAGAGAGAAGAGGGAAGGAGGGAAAGCAATCCACCAGATCTGGGACTCAAACCATGGTTGGCCATGTGGGAGTGTCCAGCACCCTAACCACAATGCCACCTGCTGGTCCCGCATGGTTTATCTTTTTTCATGCTTCTACTTTGAATCTCTTCCCAAACATCAGATTTTAAAAATCAATAGGCCCAACCTCTGTGGCAATCAGTGGTGTGCTGGACTGTGAAGCTGCAAGCCACATGTCAACCACAGTTTTGAGTCCTTGGCTGGTGGGCCTGAAAACACTCAAGGCATGTGCACATGTGCCCAGGGTCCTGGAAGGCTGGCGGACTGGAGAGAGGATAGAGGTGTGAGAAAGGTGCTTCTCTCTCCCCAGGACCCATGCATGCACATGTGTTCTATCATAAGTGGAAAAACAGTAACAAACTTTTTTTTAAGTGATTTTTGCTATAGGATGTGTGTGCTCACTGGAGAGACAGAAAGCAAGACACCTCCCACTCCCACCCCACTGGGAGGATGGCTATCCACAATCTCTTCTCCTCCATTCTTCTTTAGGGATCTAGGGCATGCACATACATGCACCTGGCATGAGTTTTAAGTCACTGGGTCTGGGACTTGAACCGTGGCCGACTATGTGGGAGTCCACTGACATAACTATTACACCATCTGCTGGTCCCACAAACTATTTCTTCATCAACTGTTTTGTTTTGCTTAATTACCAATATGGTATCAGAAATAGAATTCTATAGGATGGTCTTATGCTTCAGAAAATATGTTCTGAATTACAAACCACTTTATTTTTTAAAAAAGATACATGAAATTGCAAGGTCTAGATTTGAGAGCTGGTTTTCATTTATTACCTGTGTCATCTTAAAACAGTTACCTATCCTCTCTAAATCTGAGTTTCCTTCTCTGAAAACAAAGTTTGCAGAACTATTTTGAAAAACATGAGTAAGATAGTGGCACCTAGTAAATAGTAACTTCAAAAGAGAAAAAAATCTCAACTCGCTTGTAAGTTTAGAGTTCACATGTTCTACACTGACATATTTGTTTATTCCTTCACTCATTTAATCATGCAAAAAAATTCCATATGGTTAGAACTGTTCCTCCTAAGGCTAACTTCCTAACTTACAAAGACTGACAGAAAGATACCTTGGTAACATGACAGGCAGCAAGGAGGAAGGGACTCACTAGGACAGTGGTCACTGCAGCCATCACAGGGTGCTAAGTTATTCCCAGGCCCATCCTGGAATGTAGCACATTACTGGGGTACTTAACTCGTAAGTAATGAAGTCACGTTAGGATCTACTGGAGCATGATGATGCCACAAAATGCAAGTTCTAAAAATGTTATAATGGAGAAAAGGAATAAGCCCTTTCAAGCCTGAATCCCTTACTACCGGAGGAAGAGAGAACCACTTGCTAAACAGGGAAACTGGAAATAGTGTAATTATGAACATTGCTTTGTTGTCTCCTTCCAAGGTGCAGACACATGTCTCAGATGGAGAATGATAAAGGGGCTTGATACACTTTATCTTTTCTTATTATTTTAAAGATAGGCTAAGAGGTTTTGCTGTCCATAAGCATCTTTCAATTTTATTAAAAAAAGAAAAATGCGGGACCAGCAGTTAGTGTAATGGCTATGTCGCTGGACTCCCACGTAGTCGACCGCGGTTCGAGTCCCGGACCTAGTGGCTTAAAACTCACACTGGGCACGTGTGCATTCGTGCCCAAGATCCCAAGAGGAGAATAGAGGAGAAGGGACTGCGGCGTGGCCATCCCCCCTGGGGGGTGATTTCTTGCTGTCTCTTTGTCTCTGTCTGTCTGCTGAGTGCATGGGACCTATAGCAAAAACCTCTCCAAAAAAGGCAAAAAAAAAAAAAAAAAAAAAAAAAAAAAAAAAAAAAAAAAAAAAAAAGAAAAATGCTGGGACCAGCAGGTGGCGTGGTGGTTTAGGGCGCTGGACTCCCACATGGTCAACCACGGTTCGAGTCCCGGACCTGGAGACTTGCTTTCTCACTTTCTCTTTCTCTCTCTTCCTCTTTCACTTTCACTCTGTGTCTTGTCAAATTAAAATAAATAAGTAAGTAAAAATAAATAAGTTAAGTAATTCTTTAAAAAATATTTATTAAAAAAAAAAGAAAAAAAAATGCTAACCCTGCTAATGATATTAAAATAATTTATACATCTCAATTAGATTTTGATTCACATGAAACCACTCCTTGGGGTACAAAGCAATCACAAAAGTTACCTTTCTTTACATGTGAACTAAAGAAGTATTGGGACCAGCAGTTGGCATAATGGCTATGTCGCTGGACTCCCATACAGTTGGCTGTGGTGCGAGTCCCGGACTCGGTGACTTAAACTCATGCCAGGTACATGTGCGTGCGTGCGTGCCCAAGATCCCGTGAGGAGAACAGAGGAGACGGGATTGTGGAATGGCCACCCCCCTGGGGGAGGTGATTTCTCACTTTCTGTCTCTCCGTCTTTCTGGCAAGCATATGCGCCCTAGAGCAAAAACCTTTCCAAAAAAAAGTATTAAGAAGACAAATTGGGACCAGCAGTTAGTGTAATGGCTATGTCGCTGGACTCCCATGTAGTCGACCACAGTTTGCATCCCAGACCCGGTGGCTTAAAACTCATGCCGGCGCGTGTGCGTGTGTGCCCAAGATCCCAAGAGGAGAATGGAGGAGAAGGGGATTGTGCTGCGGCCATTCCCCTTGAGGGGTGATTTCTTGCTTTCTGTCTCTGTCTGTCTGGTGAGCGCACGCGCCCAATAGCAAAAAAAAAACAAAAACAAAACAAAAAAAACAAAAAAACTCTCCAAAAAAAAAAAAAAAAGGCGACAAATTAACTGGAACTGATAATGCTAAACAGACCCCAACATGGTGGAAGTCATAGGGCCCTCCTGTGGGTGGGCAGGGCTAGGGGGTGCACAGGAAGCAGGCCTTCAATTCTGAACCAGGCTGAATAGGCTGATAGGTGAAGTGGCATGCTTGTAATCCTAACTGGGAAGCCGCATAAGAAATGATATGAGGAGAGTATATCAAGAGTACCTATCTATTCCACCCACTCCTCTCTCTCTCTCAAATAAAAAAATAATAATGCTAAGCAAAAACAAATCTATCTTTGGGGGATTAGGCCCTTGGACTTTCCTGGTATATAAAATGGCAAAATATTTGCATATAACCCATGCACATCCTCCAGTGTACTTTAAATACTCTTGAGGTTACAGTACCTAATACAACATAAATGCCAAGTGAATAGTTATTACGCAGTATTGCTTGATAAATTTGTATTCTTTTAAATTTTTATTTTGTACAGATATTTTCAATGTGTGGTTGATTGAATCTCTGGATATGAAACCTGGAAATGTGGAGGGCTGACTATACTCAAATGTGTGGAGCAAAACAAATTAAGCCCACACAAGGAGATAATTCCTATTTACTTTGGCATAAAAAAGTAAGATTCTTTGATCTAATAGGCCAGCTTTACTTCAATAGCTGGCTCTGGATTAGGTTTGCCTTTTCTCTTTGAAAAGTTAAGTGCAGGGGTTTTTAACTGGGGTATGCCTCTGTGTTTTAAGTGCCATGGGACTGTAAAACTGTGTATTGAGGGACCAACAGATGGCCTAATGGCTATGTCACTGGACTCCCATGTAGTTGACTGCAGTTCAAGTCCCGGATCCAGGGGCTTAACTCACGCTGGGTGCGTGAGCGCGTGTGCCCAAAATCCCGAGAGGAGAATGGAGGAGAGGGATTACAACAAGGACATTTCCCTGGAGAGTGATTTCTCACTTTCTGTCTCTCTCTGGCAAGCGCATGAGCCCTATAGCAAAAACCTCTCCAAAAAAAAAAAAAAGTGTATTGAAATGTGCTTGTATGTGTCTGTGTGAACGTTGCCACGGAGAGGGCTTTTTCCAGTTTCGCAGATACCACTCCACTCCTTGTCTGAGATTACCATCTTGGGAGTAGAAAAGCTGGTGGGACTCTTGACTCTGCCTTTAACAGCCATGCCATTTTTGTCGTAGTTAAGTAGGAGACAGGGACCCTAAAAATATAGTTAGGGTAAAGGTCCAAAACGGAATCACAAATTGGCCAAGTTTTAAGATGGAGACAAAGCAGCTCAGCTGCTTGCTGGGCGAGACCTCTTGCAAGCGGTGGCTCAGTAACAGTGGGCAGCATGACCGAGACTAACTCAGCAGGAGGAACTTACTTTTTGCCCCAGTCCTCCCATCTCAATGAAGGAAGTCATTCTACCTCAGAGCTGTGAAGTTGACATCGAAAACTCATGGCACAATGCCTGCCCAAGTAACCATCAGGACCTAAAGAATTCACACTGCACACGTGTTATCACAGAACGACAATTTAAACGGAATGCTTTGTTATTTTTAAAGACTGGAACCCATTAGAGTTGTAGACGCCTGAATGGCAGTGAATATAGAATAACTTTATCCAGTTGAGCAAGAACCACCTTCAACCTTCTCTGCCCGAGTCCTTCACTCCTGCCTGATGGGAGCAACAGCGCCACGTTTGATCGGTAGGGCATCAGGCGGATATTCGTCTTAAACATCACACTGTTTCCTTAAGCTGGTAACAAGTCCCCCCATGCCCCATCCAACCCCCTAGTTAAGGTGCTGAAGGCCGTCAGGTGAGAGAAACCGAACCTCGTACTGCTAACTAATTTGGAAGAGAGGCACGGAGCGGGAATTACCGCCGCAGATGTCCTGGTTTGGTAAATTCCCCGACCCACACAGGAACAGCCCCGTACTGTGATACACGTGAGTCCCCGGCCGGCCACTGCTGGAAAGCACTCGTCCTCCTCTCGGCGACTCCGCGAGGTTGGAGACCCCCGCAGGGCCTCTACAGCTGCTGGCCGTACCTCACAGCAGACCCTCCCGCCAACGTCCTGCACCTCCTTACCTGGCCCCGACCTTCCTCCTCTACGCGCCGCTCCCGGAAGGCCCGCCCTCTGGCGGGCTACAAGCTGGGGCCCGAGGCAACTAGGGGAAGCAGTAGAGAAACGGAAGCTCGAGGGCTAGAGCGGAGTCCTACTGATCGACCCGGAAGGACTGCCTCCCTCTCCTAGCGGCTTCGGAGGTCATATCTGGCGCCTGCGCAGTGCGAATAGCATCTCCGCCTGTGCGGAGTCCCTGGAAAGGGGGTGTGTTGGGAGAGCGAGGGGGTCCCAGGAGACCCTGCAGGATTCGCTAGCCTTATTTTGTTGAGTACGACTACCCAGCCTCCTCCAGAGCTCTGAAGTAATGGCGATACGTGTGCTGAGCCGTAGGAGGATGAAGTATATTTTCTTTTTCCTTCCATATTATGTTTCCCTTTTCTTCCCACCCCGCCTAGGCCTTTACTGTTGTTGGGCGTTGCTTGACTCCAGGGGCCGAAGAGTCTTTTTGACGCACAGAGGATGCCCTCCCTCCCTTCCTCCTGTCTACTCCTCCTTTAACAGGATCGCCTGCAGGAGGCTTTTCTTGCTAACCCTTGCCTGGCTTACGGGGTCCATTTGGAGCTCTTGTTTGTGTTTCTTCAGCTGGTCCGAGAGCTTAGGGATTAAGCAAGGGTGCGGCATTTTATTGTATTTATCTCCTCATTAGTTGCCTAGAACTCCCTTGAGAGAGGTTAGGAACACTAGTTCACACTCTCTAGTGCTTCCCTTGAGAGAGGTTAGGAACACTAGTTCACTCTCTAGTGAGTGAAGCATGCGACATCCCATGGGCATTATATGCAGGAATACTTACTGAATGCTTGGTAGTTCGGTTGCGAAAACTTAGTTTTTAGTTTCTGAGCGTTATTCAAAATCTTATAGGGGCCGGCAGGTGGCGTGGTGGTGAAGGCGCTGGGCACGCCCACATGGCCGACCACAGGTCCCAGACCCGGTGGCTTGTTATCTCACTTTCCCTCTATATGTGTGTCTCTCTCTGGTCAGGTTAAAATAAGTAAATGAATGAACAAAATTTTAAAAACAATTTTTTTGGAGTTTTTTGTTTGCTATAAGGCACGTGTGCTCGCCAGAAAGAAAGAGACGGAGAGACAGAAAGCGAGAAATCACCCCCAGGGGGGAGGGCCAGGCCGCAATCCCTTCTCCTCCATTCTCAGGATCTCAGGCACACGTGCAAACGTGCTGGCACCAGCGTGAGTTTAAGCCAGCGGGTCTGGGACTCGAATGGCAGTTGACCACGTGGGAGCCCAGCGACATAGCCATTATGCCAACTGCTGGTCCCAAAATTAAATAATTCTTGTAAAAAATTGTTTATAAATATACGCTGGAATTAAGGCAAGTCAGCAGTGAGCTGTGTGCGTGTTGACACCCTTTTCCCATAGAATTTGCCTTTAACTGTGTTTTGATGTCTTAGCAATCCATGCTATAGAATTTGCTTTTATCAAGTTAATTCTGGACATGTTATTAACCTATGATATAGTAAGCAGCTTTATAAACTTGGGTATAGTGACTACAGTTAAATTTACACAGTAGGTGAAGAGTATCCTGTGCATTGTTGCAGTCCAGAAATATTTCTTGGCTAGTAGAATTCTTGGTAGAAATTTAACTTTGTTTTTTCTTTTTAATGTTTGCTATAGAGCATGTGCCTCACAGGAGGGAGGGAGAAAGAGAGAGAGAAAATGAGGAAGCACTCCCCAGGGGTGATGGCCACCCTTCAATCCCTTCTCTCTTCTCTTCTTGGGATTTTGAGAATGCATGCACACACGTGTGACATGTTTTTCAGGTGGTTGGGTCTGGGATTCAAACTATGAAGTCTGCTATGCATAAGGTCCCGCTACCTTAACCACCACGCTACCAGCTGGTCTGCACCTTGTCTTTTTGTTTTTCTGTCTAGTTGGTTTGTTTTTTATCTAATGGTAACCTACTAATGTTACTGAACTCAAATCAAGTCTGCTCGCCCAAGCACTATATAAACCAAGCCATAGGCACATGGTGTGATGAAGGAAAGTACAACTTTATTGCAAATTGCCAAGCAAGGAGAGTGGGCAGCTCATGCTGAAAACACCCGGTCTCCCCCAGATGGTCCCCACATGTGTTTTTTTTTTGGAGAGGTTTTTGCTATAGGGCGCGTGCGCTCGCCAGACAGACAGAGAGAGACAGAGAGATAGAAAGCGAGAAATCACTCCCCAGGGGGGTTGGTCATGCCGCAATCCCTTCTCCTCCATTCTCCTCTCGGGATCTTGGGCACGCACGCACACGCACCTGGCGTGAGTTCTAAGCCACCGGGTCCAGGACGTGAACCACGGTCGACCACGTGGGAGTCCAGCGACATAGCCATTATGCTAACTGCTGGTTCCCCCCACATGCGTTTTTAAGGGCAAAATTAGGGGCAGAGGCCCCAGGTGCATGATCAGTTCAGTGATTGGTTCAAGAGGGAGTGATCATCTCGTAGGCATTCTTGATTGAGGAGGCCTTAGATAATCAAATTCCTCTTCAGGTGTCTGGAACCTTTCAGCCTGGAGTATCTGAGCTCACAACCAGCAGTTTCCAGTCTACAAAACATCTTACCTTTTTTTTTGGGGAGGGGGGAGAGGTTTTTGCTATAGGGCACGTGCGCTCGCCAGACAGATAGAGAGACATAGAGACAGAAAGCGAGAAATCACCCCCCAGGGGGGATGGTTACGCCGCAATTCCTTCTCCTCCATTCTCCTCTCGGGATCTTGGGCACGCACGCACACGTGC